CGAGCAAAATGGCGAGTTGGTTTCATGAAAAATGTTTATTAAAGATTTATTAAGATCCTGTTCACATAAGCTTCACATCTCAAGTAGCCTAAAACATTCATCTTCTACCCATATCCTTTCGAGAATATCCAGGCCCCTAGCTCCAGGTGAGTAACATTTTCCAAGCAAATCTACAGAACAGATCATGATTTCTACCACAAGCATCCTATCAGACTATGGATCAAGCAAGAAAAATTACCGATCTCCGATAAATCTACCAACAGGGAGTAGGTGGCAATCAACAACACTGTTCCGTACCTCAGGTGAATGTATGTTGGGTTGCAAGTTAAAAAAGGACATTTTCCTGAAGTGTCTCTCATTTTCCTGAAGTGTCTCTCATTTACAAAGTCAAATCTATCAGATGGAGATATCAGGTTTCTCATTTAATTAATACCAACCATATATGTACATCATAATTCAATTTTCTGAATAAATATTTCCCATGTGCTTCACTTAATACCTAAAACATCCATCTACATACCAAACTACACAACAGTTGTTAAAGTTTCACAGCAATCTCAATTCCTAAGTTTAGCTAAGTACAAGATGATGAGGCAAAGTTTATTTGCATGCTCAATAGGCTTAAAAATAAGAATAAAACAAAGAAGTAAAATAGTAATAAACTACAAATGAGGTGAGAACTGAGAAGATGCTGCTGTAAAATGTGGTTTTATATCTTACGGGGGTATAAATGTCTTTCACCAGACAAAAAAAACCATCGAGTAAACAAAAGTGCAGATCTTTGCGTTCCAGCATATCCCCTATGACTAGTGACCTACCATTAAATGACAAAAATACCCCCGCTCCAAATAGGAAAGTTTTCTCTCTTTTTCACTCCACAGCAGTCGCATATCCCAAAATTTCCCAAAATTCCAGGGCACAAAGGTCAAGATCAAGCATGAAACATCAAAATTTACTCAAATTCCACGGGATCTACGTAAATAAACAACAAGGTATCCTCAATCACAAAGATCCAGCACCAACATCGACTAAAAAGGCAGAATTTCAAACAAATCCAGCATTCTCAAAACAAAAATGAAGACATCAAAGCAAGGTCCAAAATACCTGCAATAATCCCAAACCAAATCGCAGCGAATCTCCCTCAATCGGTCGCGGCACTGCAAAAACTAACAGCACAGAGGCTTGCCGGATTTACAAAAGGAAACCCTAACCCTAGATTTCAATTTCCTTTTCCCAAAGTTTTTTTAAAACAAAAATCGATTTTTTTTCCCAGTTATCTTTCTCTCTCTAAAGAAAGGCGCGGAGAAAAGAGAGGGGAGGCGAGGGGAGAGGGAGAGAGGAAGAAGAAGCCAAGGAGGACGAGCTGTGCCACGTCACATACACGTGTCTATTTATCGTCTGTCCGCTATTAAATTATCAATAAATTAGTGCTAAGTAGACTCTAATCCGTGACAAATGAACGCGACGGTGGCGTGAGCTGTAGCGTGGAGGAGGTGTCTCAACTGGGCCATTATTTAAATGGGTTCTTTGGATGCCAGTATCTTACGTCTTTGGTATTTTTGGGATTAGTCCGCCAACTTATTAAAATTGCTATTGGATTCTTAGATTTTATAAGTTGCTTCAAATTAGTCCATTCGATTTGCGTTTTGGAATGGGATGTTAGCTATGCCGTTCAACGAACAGTACTTCCATTACAAAAATATTTTTAATCCACACAAATTTAAGTTTTTCTTCCCCAACGGTCAGCTACTCTCTCTAATTTATTTTATAATCACTCTCTTTTTTGCTAAATCTAAGCATTCGTTAGACATTTTTCCTTAAGCTGATTACAGCCTTCATTGTTTTCGTTCTAGACTTCATGTCGTCTGCTCCAGGAGTAAATTGGTTTAATTACCGCATTTAAAATCTAAAAAATTATTTTAAAATTTCAGTATAGTTTTTGCTAAACAAATTTTAGCTATAGCGCGGGAGATTTGCCAAACAAGCTCGAAGAGGGTACTCAGTAGTGGAAATTTATAAGGGATGTAGTAACAATTTAAATGATTTGAGGGGCTGATTATAGATGCTAAAAATGTAAGGGGGGAAACATTTTAAGAACTAGCAATTTTGGTTGAGCCGTACTGTACGGGTATAGAAGCCCACTGTGGGAGCTAGTCAGGGGCTGTTTGGTTGTATGTTTTTACCATGTAAAAGGATGTAAAGTGAAAAAAATGGGTCCCAATGTCAGCTTTCATCACTTTCAATTGTTTGTTTGTAGTTGTGAAAATAGTGTAAAGTGATTTCATATGCTGATGTGGCTTGTAAAGTGTTTTCATGAAAAAAAGACATGATTTTAGGAGAAAGCTAACATTGAAGTTAGTAAAAAATAATTCCAACCAATATGATCCCACTTTTTACACTTTCCAAATAAACAATTAAAGTTTTATTTTGCAAACCAAACAAGTGTTTTATGATTCTAATGGAATAAAAAACAAACAAAGAAAAATATAAAAGTGAAATTGATGAGGTGGACAACAATTTTTTAAGTTGTGTCATAAATACACAACTTTACCAACAACCACCAAACAGCCCCTCAGTCGTTTTGCACACGTCACAATAACTGTACACGTGGTGTTTTTAGAAGCAGCCAGCAAGGTGAGGGGTCTCGAATCACGAGGTCCAGCTGTAGGCCCTTTCATGTAGCCGACGTGGCAGATGTTTTGTGAATAAAAAAATGTTTCATTTTTATGTTTGTATGAAGTTAAAAATTGGATTTAAGCCGTCTTTCACGTCCGCTACAGGACGATCTACTGGAAGTAAAGGATATGGATTTGCGGCCTGCATACGGTTCCGGATATGGTACTTTAATGCTTTTTTGTAATTACCACCTCAAACTATCTTTAAATTCGGGCTAAATAGCACCTACACGTCCTATCGTTTTGTCTACTTCCCCTTTGTATAGAATTGAGATCCTCTACTCATGCATAGTGATTCCTAATATTTGCTAATGCATCTCCACCTTTTATTTTGTGGACCCCACCTTCCACTTTGTACTTGTCCACAAAATTAAAGGTGGAGATACATTAGCAAATATTAGGAGGTACTATGTATGAGTAGAGGATCTCAATTCCTTTGTATATACCCTCACTTCTATTGAATAGAATAGAAAGAAAACACCCAAAAATATTTTAAACTTGAACTTATTTTTGGTAGCAGTTGCGTACCCTAAAGTTATTAAAATCTACACTTAAATATCCTAAAAATTTTAAATCTGACACTTAAATGCCCTAAAATGTTTTAATTTACACTTAAATTCCCACACGTTTGCATAACCGAGGGTATTCATGTGAAAATTTTATCAACTTGAGGGTATTTAAGTCTACTAAAAAAGTGAAAGTATATAAGTGCAAGTTTTAAAAAATTCAATATATAATTTTTTGCTACTGAACACAGATGGGGATATATAAATGAAAATTAGTTGCAGCAATATGCTATATAAGCGCAATTTGGCCTTACATTTTGTGAGAAACTTTTGAATATAAGGGCCTGTTTGTTTGTCTAAAAAAATTGAAATTCAAAGAAATGAAAAACTATTAAATTAAAGAATTGTTTTGGGAGTGTTTGGTTTGCTAAAAAAAGAAGGAAATCAAAGAAATGAAGATGAGTTGTCACCTTATTATAGGATGATGTGAGTGATTTTTTAAGAAAAATTATTTTGATGTTGTTTGGTTGACGAAAAAAATAATGAAATAAATTATAAGAAACCTATTTCTTGTAATAGGTTATTTTCTTTTGCTTGGTTTTTTCTTAAAAATAAGAAAATATATGAGATTAGATGAGTTGTCATTATATTATTGAATGATGTGACTCACACTTAAGGAAATTGTTTTCCTAGTTTTTTTGGAGGAAAACAAAGAAATGAAATGTTAATGAGATGAGATGAGTTATCACAATCTTATTGGATGATGTGAGTAATTTTTAAATATGAGATGAGATGAGTTGAGTGATGTTGTGAATGAAAATAATATTTTATTAGATGTGGTGGATGTGATGGATGAGTTGTTGGATGAAAATAATATTTTATTAGATGTGATGGATGATTTGTTGGATAAAAATAATATTTTATTAGATGTTGTGGGTGAGTTTTAGGGATGAAAATGTGTGAAATTGTACTTTTTGAATTTTTTTTGTTTGCATTTCTATTTTTTGGTTTTTTAGGAAATAACCAATCAGCCCCTAAATGGAATTGTTGAGCATCAATCAGGCGTGAATGCGGATGAATCTTAATTGGATCGATCAGTTTACTAAACGAGTAGTGTACAGTTTTAAGAGCTTTGATTTGTTCGTTCCTATTCACTCACGACTAAAAAACTACTTAAAAGAAAGATATCTCTCGTAAATAATGACAAAATAAAGCAAAGGTTTATCATAAGGGCTTTGCTTCGGTGCTCCGAAAATAATTTATTTTTTCTTTTTTTATTAAAGGGTAAAAGTGGAATTTTATCATCTTCAATCTCTATCATTCAGCTCATCTATTCTCCATGCCCAGGTAACCCAGCTCTTTCTGTTGGATTTAATCTAATAAATCTATTTGTGGGCACATATGATTAATCAATGTGTATTGCCATCTTTCAGGATAACCCACTAAAGTGATCAATTAAGTTGGGTTAATTTGGTATTTAAATAAGTCATGGGGTTATATGTGCAGATACCAGGTTGTAATTGTAATTTATTGAGGGGCTAAATTACAAAAGTACAACATCTATAAATAAGGGGTTATGGTCCCTAATCTAGGGTTACATTCTCTAATTCTCTACACCCCCATCTAGCTAGAGAAATTCGGTTTTAGGATGTGCAGCATGAAAATTACATGCAATGTGATCAGTACATGTCTATTTTCAACTGGTCCTCCTTAGTGAGGTCAAAACCAAACATAATGTAACAGAGTGTCTTAACTGAAAACTTTATTCTGATCAGACAATACAAACAAACATAAAGCACCACAAATACAAACTCCCACTAAAACATAATATCCTCAAATAATACCACACCCATATGAGCAGTATGCTCATGAAAGACCTTAGGTGGCAATCCCTTAGTAAGAGGATCAGCTAACATGGAGTTTGTCCCAATGTGCTCTATGGATATCTGTCCACTCTGTACCCTTTCTTTCACAACCAGGAACTTAATGTCAATATGTTTTGACTTAGTTGAGCTCCTGTTGTTATTAGAATACATTACTGCAGACGAACCTCGCGTTCTAAGGTGAACCTCGCGTTCAACTCAGGTGAGCGTCAAGCTCAATTTTAACGAACCTCGCGTTCGTTCTAAGGTGAACCTCGCGTTCAACTCAGGTGAGCGTCAAGCTCAATTTTAACGAACCTCGCGTTCGTTCTAAGGTGAACCTCGCGTTCAACTCAGGTGAGCGTCAAGCTCAATTTTAACGAACCTCGCGTTCGTTCTAAGGTGAACCTCGCGTTCAACTCAGGTGAGCGTCAAGCTCAATTTTAACGAACCTCGCGTTCGTTCTAAGGTGAACCTCGCGTTCAACTCAGGTGAGCGTCAAGCTCAATTTTAACGAACCTCGCGTTCGTTCTAAGGTGAACCTCGCGTTCAACTCAGGTGAGCGTCAAGCTCAATTTACGAACCTCGCGTTCGAACTTCAGACGAACCTCGCGTTCGAACTTCAGACGAACCTCGCGTTCGAACTTCAGACGAACCTCGCGTTCGTACTTCAGACGAACCTCGCGTTCGTGCTTCAGTCGAGCCTCGCGTTCGAACTTTAGACGAACCTCGCGTTCGTACTTCAGACGAACCTCGCGTTCGTACTTTAAACGACCCTCGCGTTCGTTCCCAAGATTGAACCTCGCGTTCTTTTATCAAACGAACCTCGCGTTCGTTCACTTTCAGACGAACCTCGCGTTCGTGCTTAAGTGAGTCTCGTACTCAATACAGTTGAACCTCGCGTTCAAAGTTAAGGGAACCTCGTGTTCATTATGGTTAAGCCTCGGCTTTTCATGGGTCCACTTTGGTATACTTAATTTATTCAATTAAGTTATGGGCCCTAATTAAGCTGTGAGACCCCAATTAAGTTTGGTTTTTAATCAATTATTTAATTCAAATATTATGACACTAAGGTATTAAGGTTGTCTCTCACTCCAATTGATTAATTGAAACAAGAAGTTGCCAAAGTAACCTCTCTTGTGTAGATTGTTCATGAGGAATGTGAGATGTTTGTGTGTATGCTTTCGTGTAAATATTTAATCGGCCCAAAGGAAGGTTAATATTTATTTAGACTGTATACACATCTGCGATGATAAGCGTGTGACAATTATAAGGTTTACATGTGAATAATGAATCG